TTTTAAATCTTTAAATTGACTTTTCCGATGTTGTGTTTAATGACAGGTAACTCAGGTGTGAAAAATGGCCAACTTTAGTGCCGATTTATGAGTTATCGTTTATAGGAATGACATATAGGCTGCTTCAGCATTGGTATTGTTATATACACAAAAGGGTTCCTCACATTAATTGTTTTGTACACAAAAAGTTTGACCAAGAAAGAGAATGCCTTCACTCTACCTGAAATAACAGGGTCAAATGAATGGGGAACAGACTATATTCAATAGTTTTAACTCTCTTTGACGATTATTATGAAGAAGAAAATTTAATGTCATGTTTTTCTGTTCGCGCTTTTTCGCTTCCTGTGTATATATATATATATTTTACAAGTAAATGCAACAATTGATCATCATATTTGTGTTACTAAGCACGAAGGGGAACGACCGAGTATAAAATATTAATTAGGTTAGAACTGAGAAGGAGGGTAGATTTCACTTTTTATTTTAATTAAAAATTTTAATTACATGCAGTAAACCGGTGTCCGCAACTATACAGTAAATAAGTTTAACATTGGTGCTAAATTTTAAAACCACTGGATTCTACCGAGAGCAAAGAAACACTTTGGAAATGCTAAAAACTACCTTGCGTGTAAACAGTTAGATACCCGAGCCTGCTCTAAACAAGTTTCAGCAGTGAGTTATCGTTCATAACACCGACCCCTAGCGGCAGTTAAAAGGCCTAATGTTTCGACTCTGTACGTTTTATTTCAAGCTCACCAAGATATATCATATCGATATAAGAATGAAAATTACCATTGTTAATTGTCAGTAGCATCATGAACACGGAAAATGTAATGTGAGATGTTTAGTTTTCCTCTCTTTTTTGTACTTTTTGGAGTTGTAATACGTGTGCAAATTTAACGCCTAACACATTAGTGTTAACGTTGCTAACAACAAATATTTAACAGCAGGGAAACGGTGCAAATATTGATTACCGCGATTGATCGTGTGCAAGTCACTTGAAATTACCGATACTCCAAAGCTTTATGTGGATCAAAAATGTTCTGATTTGTTTTGTGTCGACACGGGTATGTACTGTCTTTTCTTTAAATATTTTATTCAAATATCGCTAAATGTACATTTCCCGAAAAAGAGATAACTACCTTTATTTTATAACACTTTATTGTATGTTTAAGGTGCGAATCTACGATTAAATTGATTTACATGTCTTTGTCTATCACATTAAATAAGACAAGCACATACCTCTCAGTACAGTATGTTTATTTCGCAAATAAAATCAAATTAAAAAGAAAATCATTAATTTCGATCTTTCTATGAGTGTTTTCCTGATAATGAATTTGAAAAAAAAAGTCGGAAGAAACTATTTCGTTCAGCTAAACGCAATGATGAATGCCATTCAATGGAAGATTTTTTACTTTAAAATAAAAAAAAGAAGATTATTCTTACAATACAGAATAAATATTTGAATCACACTTTTTTGTCTATTTGAAAAATTGATTTTGCATTGGAATAATTTCCAGCCTCCACAGATCAGGTTCGCTGTGTTGCTATAATCAATAAAATAACAATCAATATATAAACGCTTCCAATTGCCTGAGGATATGGTTGTAATTAGAACGTACAAATAAAAAAAAAAGTGTTTTTCAAGGAGAACTTTTAGGATAAGAATAGATTTGTACCCGCGGAGCACACAAAACGGCAATGTAACGTCAACACATAGCGTCGAGAATTTATAATGGATACTATACCCATACATTTCACACAGAATATTCCAATGCCCATTCATTATGTTTCTTTTTTTCTAATACTTGGCATTTATTTTTTAAGAATTGATCTCATTGTATAATTTCCTTTGTTAAGGTTTTAATTTCCATTAGTACTTAACTCTGCTTTCACAGGATAAGCAACTCTGAAGCGGCTTTGTCTTTTTTTACGTTTCAAATTTTAAATTTTTTTGAGATGTTAACAGTAAAACCGTTTCTTCACATGTCATCCTCATCCAATACAGAGTCTCTATCACTCAAATATTGCCTGTACTATTTGTACACACATGCACAACTCGTTTGTGAAAAAATTTTCTTGACTCTTCAACATTTTTTAGAGTTTATTCGGGATTTTTCCTGAGAAAAACACAAAATTGCTCCCGTATCTGCAGCTCCGTGACGTTCTAAAACGTCATCGTTTTTGTCGTTTTCAATAAGGACTACTTATCTTCTCAAGTTGATTTCTTTTCAACAAAGCAAAATATAAAACCATAATTTGGTACACGTATCGATGTAACAATTCTTAATTTGAATTGCTATGTAGTTTTTCGTTTTTCTTCCATTTTACAAAGAAAATGACTATAGACATTATTTATTGTATTGTCTGTAACTGACTAAATTTTGACCTGCTCCGCGATCCGATTTTTGCATTTTTAAAATCTAGATAAGTTTTTAATCAATCATAATATTTTGTCAAAATTAATACATGTTATTTGGATTTATTGTTAACATATTAACATATTTCTACCAAATTTGGATAACATATGACGTCAAATAAAAAGGATATGACAGTTGTCCACGAACTTTTCGAACATGCAACCCTTGTATGAGATCATTGTAGATTTTATTATGCAATTTGTTACATGTATTAGATCATATTTTTTTGAAAAAGTAAAAATTAATGAATTATGATATGAAAGAGCTCTGAACGCATTTATCACGATGTTCACTTTTACTTCTTCTTATCTAATTATCTTTTTAAGGTATAAAGGTTATGACAAGTACACACGGTAAGGCTAGAACTTATGTTTCATGACTTAAAAGGCATGCCCTACCGTGTGAACCGGCCCTAATACACGTTTTTAGCTCACCTGAGCCGAAGGCTCAAGTGAGCTTTTCTGATCACATTTTTGTCCGTCGTCCGTCCGTCTGTCTGTCCGTCTGTAAACTTTTCACATTTTCGACTTCTTCTCAAGAACCACTGGGCCAATTTTGACCAAACTTGGTACAATGGGGAATCAAAGTTTTATATAGAAATATATAGGAAAAATCTTTGAATATCTTCTTCTGACTATGGACTTGAGCAGACTTGCAGTAACTTATGTGGAAGCATCCTGGTATAGTGTAGATTCTTTTATAATTATATAGTTCACATCATGACCCTCGGGGGAAGGGCGGGGCCACACTGGGGAATCAAAGTTTTACATGGAAATATATAGGAAAAATCTTTGAAAATCTTCTCAAGAACCACTGGGCCAGAAAAGCTGAAACTTATGTGGAAGCATCCTGGTATAATGTAGATTCTAAATTGTTCAAATAATGACCCCCGGGGGAAGGGCGGGGCCACAATGGGGAATCAAAGTTTTATATAGAAATATATTGGAAAAATCTTTGAAAAATCTTCTCCGCAAGAACCACTGGGCCAGAAAAGCTGAAACTTATGTGGAAGCATCCTGGTATAGTGTAGATTGTAAATTGTTCACATCATGACCCCCGGGGGAAGGGCAGGGCCACAATGGGGTATCAAAGTTTTACATAGAAATATATGGGAAAAATGTTTGAAAATCTTCTTCTCAAGAACCACTGGGCCAGAAAAGCTGAAACTTATGTGAAAGCATCCTGGTATAATGTAGATTCTAAATTGTTCAAATAATGACCCCCGGGGGAAGGGCGGGGCCACAATGGGGAATCAAACTTTTATATAGAAATATATAGGAAAAATCTTTGAAAATCTTCTTCTCAAGAACCACTGGGCCAGAAAAAGTGAAGCTTATGTGGAAGCATTCTGGGGTAGTGTAAATTCTAAATTATAGGAATCATGACCCCCGGGGAAAGGGCGGGGCCATTATAGGGAATCAAAGTTTTACATAGAAATATATAGGAAAAATGTTTGAAAATCTTCTTCTAAGGAACCACTGGGCCAAAAAAGCTGAAACATATGTGCCATGGAAGGATCATGGGGTAGTGTAGATTTCAAAATGTCTAAATTATGATCAGTGGGGTAGGGTGGGGATGCATTATGTATAACAAGGGGGAAATCTGGTAAAGAACAGAATGGTTAAAGCTTCTCAGGTGAGCGATGTGGCCCATGGGCCTCTTGTTTTTCCCGAGCATTGCAAGTCTGACCTAGGAATAGAACACTGCTCTACTTAATAATATTAGACTTAGCAGACATTTATTTCATTACAAATGAAAATGATATACCCAAAGTTCAATCTATTTTTAAAAGGGCAATAACTCCTTTGCAGGAATCTTCATTCAGACATTCCCATTATTATACTTTTTATGTAAAATAGTCTCCCTGGTATTCAAAATTCAAATGTATCTTAGAAGAAGCATGCGCAAGTCCTAGTATTTCTGAACTTTTGGCATCAGAATTATGCATATGAACCAGATTTTTACATAATTTATGTCATAATGTTTCCAAAAAATGTACAATTTGTTTTAGGTACTGTTTATTTATGTCTGCTATCTAAATAATATAGCGACCTATACATTTTTTGCAACAATAAGTAAATTTAAACTATATTAAACGAAAATAAATGCAGTTTTTGGACTTTGAATCATTTAATTTGTAAAGATGGAAAGACCTTAAGAAAACAATTAAAATCGAATCTGTATCAGATTTACAAATGCTATACTATTTGAAATCCCAATAGCTTGAAGATTCTGAAGACCTTTGAAGTTTTGTGAGGGAAAACAACAATGAGAGGTCTTTCAAAAGATAGTTTCACAGTTGCTGACTGGATAGTATTCTCTGGAATACTTACCATTTCGGCATGCATCGGAGTTTATTATGCTTTGGCAGGAGGAAAGCAGAAAACTACCAAGGAGTTCCTTATGGGAAATCGCAGTCTGAAAATGGTTCCCGTAGCCATTTCTATTCTTGTTTCTTTTCTGTCAGCCATTTTAATTCTGGGAGCGCCTGCAGAGATGTATACAAAAGGGACCCAGTATTATTTATATGTGTTTGGACAAATGGCGGCAGCAGCACTTGCTGCTTTCTTGTTTGTGCCTCTTTTTTACCCGCTGAAATTAACGAGTATGTACGAGGTTAGTACAAACAATTTTGGAAAATTAATAAACACTCTTATTAACTTACCTTAATAAAAAACTCAAGTAAGCTTTTATGATCATAAATTCTTTGTCGTCTGATTGTCTCTCTTTCAATCCCCTGCGTCCGTCTAATGTGGAAGTATCCTGTGAATGAGTAAATTAAACTTGTTAAAACCATAGCCAAAGTGGGAAGAGCAGGGCTAAGATAGGGAATCCAAATTTTGCATTAAAATATGTAGTCAGAATCATCTTCTCAAGAACCAAATGGGACAGAAAAGGTTAAAATGAATGCGAAACATCCATGGGCAACGTATAATCTATAAAAAATCACCCCAGAGGTAGTGGAGTCCACAATAGAGGACCTAAATTTAGATTGAAATATAAAGAAGAACTCTTTGAAAATCTCTAATCAAGACAATGTGAATCTATTTCTAAATTCATAAATCCATGATCCTTGGGGGTAGGTCGAAACCACAATATAGAATTTACATTCATCATTGATATACATGTTCATGTATGAAAATTTACATGTATTTTCGGAATCTTCTCCTCAAGAATAGCAGGATCTTATGTTAAAGCATACCGATTTAATATCAATTCTAAGTTGTTAAAATTATTTCCTGAGGTGGGTGGTGCAAAGAGGTGCATGTTGTATTTCAGACCCTAAAATGCCTTACTACACCTAATGAACGAATCGTTACGTCCAGGAAGCGTACTGTACCGTTCACAAACAGAGCATGTACCTTTCAGAAAACGGTAGGTTCATAGCGAATTTTTCCAATCAAAAAACCAACCGATTGTTCATAAAACGAAACGAAATGTACCATGTAAGATGTGTAGTAACACGTTGTAGGGTTTGTACAATGAAAAAAGTTTGTTGAGGAACAGCACGACCAAAGTCATTGAGGGAAACTTGTGGTACATTTTGTTTCTTTCTTCAGCTATATTTCTTTCTAAAATACCCGCCTTGAGCAATGATTAGATTAACTTTCTCATAATGTGTAGTAAGTATTCAATAAAATATTCCAAATCTAAAATGAATTAACTTAAGACACCTTTATCTAAAGTTCATTGCTTCATATAAAAATGACTTTCGTTTCTATTTTTAAAGCAGTGTGCTTTATGATTCAACAACCAAGTTATAAAATTGAATTACCTGATTGATGGTATTTTCAGTAGTCTTAAGTTGTAATACATGTAAATATATTTACATTTTTAAAATTGACAATTTAATGCTATCATGTATAGCAAAAGGGGAGAAAAGAAGTCCACGGCATTTTTATTTTAAACCAAGTATAGGCTTCAAAAGAATCCAGCATTATAGTTCTCTTTTTTCTCTTCAGTATATTGAAGTAAGATTCAAATCCAGAGCAGTCAGACTTACAGCTACAGTTATAAATATACTATCCTCGGTGAGTAAAATTATTCAGTTTTCTAAGTACTAAAAAATACAGAAGTTAACTGTAGTTAACTAACAGTTAATTAGATTTTACAAAAGTGTGTTAGAGTCACATATGAAACGGCTTTATATGTTGAAAAAATATTTTGTTGATAAAAAATAGACATTGTCCTTTTTACATGTATCCTGTAGTATAATCAGCTTAAAAATGGAAATTCTTTTATATTCATGTTTAAATGGAAAAAGCTCATGAGCATAACATTCCTTACCTGATATGTATAAAGACCTTTTCCTTTTTTCTTTAAAAAATATGTTTGTATTTCAGCTGATATACACCGGGATTGCATCATTTGCTCCAGCAACAGCCTTAGAAGCAGGTAATGTTGAAAATTAATCTCTTTAAAGAATCATTCTGTGTAAATGAAATTGAAATGAACCTACAAAATTGTTCATTATTGCAAGCGTACGAGGGTTGTTCGAAAAGTTCTTGGACGATTTCAATTTTGGTAATACTACTTTCAAGAAATTTAAAATGAGCATCGCCTATAAGTCACCAATTAGAGCTTCTGCAGTGAATTGTAAACGTTCTTACAATTTTCACCTGATTTATTACATTGTACATTCAACTAGCACCTATACTTCGCAGTTGCAAAAAATGTTATTATTTCTGTATCTTTACCATTACAGTAACTGGATTTCCTGAATGGGCTTCTTTTCTTCTGATAGGTGTAGTGTGTACATTTTACACTTTCATGGTAAGTTTTATGCAGGACTGTACCGGAAAATCTTATTGTTTTGTCTTTTTTCCTAAATTAAATTTATATGCAGAATTAAAAAAAAACATCAGTAATTATTATTTTTTTAAATGACTTATTGAATGTTTGTTTTTAACGTCCCATCCAAGACTCGAGGGGGCTCGTCCCTCATTTCTGCAGCAATGAAGCCACTTCTCTAGGATATTAATTCCGATTATTTTTGCCTTCTTTAATCCCTTCAATTAAAGCTATAAAGTGAAGGGATTCTCTCATAAATCTACATATCTCCAATACTGTACAATCGTATCTTTTTGCCAGGGTCTTTCTGGGAAGGTCGGAAAAACGAGCCTACTAGAAAAGTCCTAGAATTTGCGATTAATTGCTCGATGAAGTGCCGAAACTAATTATTTTCGTCTGTTATGTTACACTGCGTCATTTGAAATATTTTGGCAACGTCCTAAAACTGCAAGTGCATTGAAATTCTCAAATTGACGACCTGATAAATAATGTCTTCAAACTTAATCCACTTTTCAACGTGATTTTTATTTAATGTTTATGCAGAACTGCGTATTCTCAGTTAAAACCTTTTTATTTGCTTTTTCCCTATTAAGCATTGATGTATTTATCATTTTTTTTTTGGTTTTTGTATCTGTTGTTCACCATGAAATATGACATAATCTAAACAATTCCTGAAAATTTTAGCTAAGTGTGCACTTTATTTTCCACAATGTTTTATTGCAATGTTTTAACACCCTTCCCCGCAGTCACGCATATTAACGCATATACCATTTCCTTTTTCTAACGCAAAATCACGCATTTACCGTTTCCCCACAATCACGCATTTTCACGCACTTTAAAAAGTTCATTTAATCTTCAATTTATTGCCAAATTCCAATTATTTTATACTTGCTTGAATCTCATAAAATAAGAAAAGATATTTCTAATTAAAATATTATTTCAGAATATTATTTACGCTAAACTTTAGAGAAATTTGTATCCCGCTATAAAGTGCTTGCGGGGATATGGCAAAGTAATATTTCTATGACGCGAGGATTCAATGTATGTTGCATAACAATTCTGTAAGTTGTAAAGAGTTAAAGAGACTTAATGTATTAACAATATTCCTGAATACGTTTTGGCCATTACAGGGAGGATTGAAAGCTGTGGTATGGGTGGATGCATTTCAGGCCATCATCATGTTTGGCTCTCTATTGACTATTGCGACTAAGGTAAAATGATGATTTGAAATAAATTTCCTTTTGGTATAACTAATATTAAAAACATAGATCTAAGATTTTGTCAACAATGGATAAGAACGTTCTTTATTTCTCAGTTCAAGTATTAAAAATTCCCTTACAAATACATGTACGAGGGCTGTTCGAAAAGTTCGTGGACGATATCAATCTTTGTTATATTACTCACTAGAATTTTAAAATAAGCACAATATAATATGTAAAAATATTTGTTTTGTTGATGTGTGAAGTTTCATTCTTTTCGATTTAACAGAAATCAGTTTACTTTATTTTAAGATCAACGTTTTGTACCCGCAGAGCACACTGAACAGGAATGTAATGTCAAAACATAGCGTCAAGAATTTCTAAAAAATACTATCCCTAAACATTTCACACAGAATAATACAATGCCCACTCATTAAATCCTTTTTCTAATATTTGAAATTTTATTTTTTAAGAATTGCTCTTGTTGTATAATTTCTTTTGTTAAGGTTTTAATTTCTTTTATTACTTAACTCAGCTTTTACAGGATATGCAGCTCTAAGCGCTTATGTCTTTCCTTGACTTCCCAAACGGCCGATGAACTGACAACTGACACCCGACAAAAAATATTTTTGTTTCAAAACCCGTCGGCCGTTGGTCGTTTTTGGAAATGTGTCTAAGACTTTAAAGGCATACCTTACTTTAAAGTGTGTACCGCCCTTATATTTTCGTTTTAAAGACTTAAACATGTAATCAATCTAAATTAAAAAAACTTCACATATGCTAAACTGTTATTGGGAGGAGAAATTCTTGTCTTATTAGATGAAGTCTTAAAAAACGTTTAGTTTACACTACTCTTATATATCTTATACAGTCAAACTTGTCTTAGCGGACACCCGAAATCAACGGCCACTTGCAGTCAGCGGCCACTTCAGTTTCCCCCGATGATTTTTACTATATATTTTAACTGGAATAAACGGCCACCTTTTTCTTGTGTAACGCGGCCAGCAGCCACTCAAATCATCCCCTAACAGCCTTATTGATACTGTAATAGGCGCCCATTTTGTCACTTGTTGCGATTCTATCAAATCTTTTAAACGTGTTGGCTTGGGTAATTATATCCTCGATATCAGGGTAATTATAACCTCGCTTAAACCATAGTCAATTTAACCTATTAATGCAATTAAACCAATTGTTTTAAATACCCTGAAGTATGTTTAAGTGTTTTATCCACAGTGTTTATGTACACGCTTCTCGAAAAAATTGGTATTTGTCCTGGAATTAGATTAATTTTTATATAATTTTAAACATCAATTTTTAATTATTTTTCACAGATCGCCGATTGAAAAATTGAAAGAATTTAATTAATCAAAGTTGATACTTTCCTCTAGCTAAAGAAATTCACACCTTTTAGATTTTGATTCCATGTAGAGGCTCTTGTAAAAACAAAGTGCTTCATATGGCATGAGAATTTCACTATCAAGAGAGAATCGATAGGAATTAGTCACGCTCTACTGCATTTGACACTTGTGTTATGGAATGACTTTCAACTGCGTAAATACATATCTCTGGTCATTTTATTTGTGTGTATGTGTATGTTATATAGAAATTCTGAAAGCTTTTTTAAAAAATAAAATAATCAGACTTTATAAACTTCAGCAAGTAAGTTTATTACCGATTAATTGGGGGGGGGGGTACACTGCTGACTATCTTTTTGACATATGTAAGTGAAATTTTTATTGACATATTTTTAGTGAAATTCCTATGCTTTATTTTATTTTCCATTAAACTGTATTTTGTGTATTTTTTTCTTATAAAAAGGATAATAGTCAGGCAATGTATGCATTTCTTCAAATGAAAATTAAAAGATTTTTTTAATAATTCAATGAAACAAAAGCACACTTATGAATGCAAGATTTTTAACTAATATGTAGGAACAGAAACATACACAAAACCTTAAACATTTCGAATTCTTTAATATTCCTTTTAAATGAGCTTTAATTACTATATATACACAAAAAAGGTTTTGTGAAATTGAACTGTTTAATAATGATTAATTAATTTAACTGCAGTGCTTAATATTGTTTATTTATTGACCAAATGTCCTTTTACAGGGCAAACTGGAATAAGAGGCTACCTGTCTTAAGTGGCCAGTTAAGGGATTTAATAACTAATTCATATTTCTTCCTCCTCTTCCTGTACAATGATTTAAAATAGTAATTGTAAACGTAAGTTATTTCACATATTTGAACAGTGGGAATGTACCAAAATCAAGCTTTTTGTTGTTTTACAGTACTCATATGACCCACTTTTAGAGCCGTTGCACAGAAACATAGAATACCAATTACCTAGACAGGTATTTTTAAACATACATTCATATATTCAAACCTACTTCAAAGATCATACGATATACTTGTATATGCCATATTATAATTGATTTACGCTTTTTCTATTAACTAAATTTCTGAACTTCTCTTACATTTTACTCAGCAGCCTAATCACCTTTTAAGAGATGGTTGTTGGTGTCATGTAGATGTGCAGTAACGTTTCAGAATTTTGATTTTGCCCCAGGGGGTCAAATGAGAGTAAAAAAATGACGTTTTTATGCAAAAAGCCCCGTCTTCCCTGAACTTCTCCTACATTTTACACATTAGCCTAATCATCTTTTTGGAGATGGTTGGTGGTGTCAGGTAGATGTGCAGTAAGGTTTCGGAATTTAGATTTTGCCCCCGGGGGTCAAATGGGGGTTGAAAAATGACGTTTTTTATGCAAAAAGCCCCATCTTCCCTGAACTCCTTCTACATTTTGCTCAGCAGCCCAATCACCTTTTTGGAGATGGTTGGTGGTGTCATGTCGATGTGCAGTTAGGTTTTGGAATTCTGATTTTGCCCCAGGGGGTCAAATGGGGGTCGAAAAATAATGTTTTCATGCAAAAAGCCCCGTCTTCCCCGAACTCCTTCTACATTTTACACATTAGCCTAATCATCTTGTGGGAGATCGTTGGGGGTGTCAGGTAAATGTGCAGTATGGTTTCGGAATTTAGATTTTGCCCCGGGGGGTCAAATGTGGGTCGAAAAATAACGTTTTTTATGCAAAAAGCCCCGTCTTCCCTGAACTCCTCTTATATTTTACTCAGCAGCCTAATCATGTTTTGGGAGATGGGTGGGGGGGTCAGGTAGATGTGCAGTAAGGTTTCGGAATTTAGATTTTGCCCCAGGGGGTCAAATGAGGGTCAAAAATGACGTTTTTATGCAAAAAGCCCCGTCTTCCCTGAACTTCTCCTACTTTTTACAAATTAGCGTAATCATCTTTTGGGAGATGGTTGGTGGGGTCATGTAGATGTGCAGTAAGGTTTCGTAATTTTGATTTTGCCCCGGAGGGTCAAATGGGGTTGAAAAATGAAGTTTTTTATGCAAAAAGCCCCGTCTTCCCCGAACTTCTCTTACATGTTAATCAGCAGCCTAATCACCTTTTAAGAGATGGTTGTTGGTGTCATGTAGATGTGCAGTAAGGTTTCAGAATTTTGATTTTGCCCCAGGGGGTCAAATGAGGGTCAAAAAATGACGTTTTTATGCAAAAAGCCCCGTCTTCCTTGAACTTCTCCTACATTTTACACATTAGCCTAATCATCTTTTGGGAGATGGTTGGTGGTGTCAGGTAGATGTGCAGTAAAGTTTCGTAATTTTGATTTTGCCCCGGGGGGTCAAATGTGGGTCAAAAAGTGACGTTTTTTTATGCAAAAAGCCCCGTCTTCCCTGATTTCCTCTTATATTTTACTCAGCAGCCTAATCATCTTTTGGGAGATGGTTGGTGGGGTCAGGTAGATGTGCAGTAAGGTTTCGGAATTTAGATTTTTCCCCGGGGGGTCAAATGTGGGTCGAAAAATGACGTTTTTTCATGCAAAAAGCCCTGTCTTCCCTGAACTCCTCTTACATTTTACTCAGAAGCCTAATTATCTTTTGGGAGATGGTTGGTGGGGTTATGTAGATGTGCAGTAAGGTTTCGTAATTGCTCCAGAGGGTCAAATGTGGGTCGAAAAATGATTTACAGTTTTTTTATGCAAAAAGCCCCTTCTTCCCTGAACTTCTCTTACATTTTACTCAGCAGCGTAATCATCTTTTAAGAGATGGTTGTTGGTGTCATATAGATGTGCAGTAAGGTTTCAGAATTTTGTTTTTGCCCCGGGGGGTCAAATGGGGGTCGAAAAATGACGTTTTTATGTAAAAAGCACCGTCTTCCCTGAACTCCTCATACATTTTACACATTAGCCTAATCATCTTTTGGGAGATGGTTGGTGGTGTCATGTAGATGTGCAGTAAGGTTTCGTAATTTTGATTTTGCCCCCGGGGGTCAAATGTGGGTCGAAAATGATGTTTTTTATGCAAAAAGTCCCGTCTTTCCTGAACTTCTCTTACATTTTACCCAACAGCCTAATCACCTTTTGAGAGATGGTTGGTGGTGTCATGTAGATGTGCAGTAAAGTTTCGGTATTTTGATTTTGCCCCGGGGGGTCAAATGAGGGTCAAAAAATGACGTTTTTATGCAAAAAGCCCCGTCTTCCCTTAACTTCTCCTACATTTTACTCATTAGCCTAATCATCTTTTGTGAGATGGTTGGTGGTGTCAGGTAGATGTGCAGTAAGGTTTCGGAATTTTGATTTTGCCCCGGGGGGGGTCAAATGGGGGTCGAAAAATGACGTTTTTTCATGCAAAAAGCCCCGTCTTCCCTGAACTCCTCTTACATTTTACTCAGCAGCCTAATCATCTTTTGGGAGATGGTTGGTGGGGTCATGTAAATGTGCAGTAAGGTTTCGTAATTTTGATTTTGCCCCGGGGGGTCAAATGTGGGTCGAAAAATGATGTTTTTTATGCAAAAAGCCCCGTCTTCCCTGAACTCCTCTTACATTTTACACAGTAGCCTAATCACCTTTTGGGAGATGGTTGGTGGTGTCATGTAAATGTGCAGTAAGGTTTCGGAATTTCGATTTTGCCCCAGGGGGTCAAATGAAGGTCAAAAAATGACGTTTTTATGCAGAAAGCCCTGTCTTCCCTGAACTTCTGAACTTCTCCTACATTTTTACGTTAGCCTAATCATCTTTTGGGAGATGGTTGGTGGTGTCAGGCAGATGTGCAGTAAGGTTTCGGAATTTAGATTTTGCCCTGGGGGGGTCAAATGAGGGTCGAAATGACGTTTTTTATGCAAAAAACCCTGTCTTCCCCGAACTCCTGTTACATTTTACTCAGCAGCCTAATCATCTTTTTGGAGATGGTTGGTGGGGTCATGTGGATGTGCAGTATGGTTTCGTAATTTTGATTTTGCCCCGGGGGGTCGAATGTGGGTCGAAAAATGATGTTTTTTATGCAAAAAGCCCCGTCTTCCCTGAACTTCTCTTACATTTTACTAAGCAGCCTAATCACCTTTTGGGAGATGGTTGGTGGTGTCATGTAGATGTGCAGTAAGGTTTCGGAATTTTGATTTTGCCCCAGGGGGTCAAATGGGTGTAAAAACAAAATGACATTTTTATGCAAAAAGCCCCGTCTTCCCTGAACTTCTCCTACATTTTACACAGTAGCCTAATCATCTTTTGGGAGATGGTTGGTGGTGTCAGGTAGATGTGCAGTGAAGTTTCGTAATTTTGTCTTTTCCCCGGGGAGTCAAATGGGGGTGGAAAAATGACGTTTTTTGAGCAAAAAGTCCTGTCTTTCCTGAAGTCCTCCTTAATGTTACTCAGAAGCCTAATCATCTTTTAGGAGATTTAAATATTTTGAAAATTATGTAAAACATCAACATCAAGGGGTATAAAAGCATCGCATGCTGGGAAACACCTTGAATTCTTATGAGTAATTAACGTACATGTCAAATGTGAGAGTCATATCTCATCTCAATCAAAAGTTATAAGCAAATGCAACATTTTTGAAAAGTAGGTTAGGCTTCAAGGTCAAGGTCACAGAGTAAAAGTCATGATTCATTTGGAAAGGTCTTATCATAGGTAATAATATACATGCATTATAATATGAATGCCCTAACTTTTCTCTTTAAAAATGATGAATTTATAACAATTTAATTTTTTTGCAAGTAGGTCAAACATCTAGGTCATATGTAAAAAAAAAACCATGCCATTCTCACAGGTAAATACTAGTAAATAAGTTTAATATGAATGCCTTGTCTCTTCTCATTCAGTAGATATGACCGTGTTGACCAAGGTTAAATTTATTGAGATAGATGGACATTCTGACATACAAATGTACATATTTCTATATGAATTGGGTAAAATTGGCCCAGTGGTTCTAGAGAAGTTAAAAATGTAAAAAGTTTTCAGACAAACAGATGGACGACACGTCACGACAGACGTTATATGATAAGGAAACCAGAAAAGCTCAAATGAGTGTTTTGAAAGGGTTACAATATGGTTGCAGTGTTTGAAAAGCTGTTTTTTTCATGCAGAGATATGCATGACCAACATATTCATGTTTTATATTTTCTTTAGTAATTTGTTTGTTTGTTGTGAATACATCTCTCTCGGGAATTTTTCCCTCATATGGAGACACCATCAAATAATAATGAAGACAAGATGTGCTTGTGAAACACTGATGTCCCTGTATGGAAGCCTATGGCGAAGGTTGAAGTTTCTCAAATATATGTCAAACTCAAAGGTCAAGGTCAAAGGGTTCAAATTGTTGGTATCAGAAGAAAGTCTTGTCACAAGGAATGCACATGTGAAATAAGTAATTCCTAGTACTTCCTGTTCAAAAGTTAATTGCCAAGGTTAATTTTTTTAAGTGGTCAAACTCTAGGGTCAAGGTCAAACATATTTATATATACAGTTCACAATGAAGACACATGTTAAGCATGAAAGCCCTAGCACCTACTGATCAAAATTTAGGCCAAGTTTAAAGTTTGGTATTTTTCTTGTAAAAATGTGTATCCTAGGTCAAGCAATCAGAGGTAAAAATCAATGGTACCCAAATAAAAGGTCTTAATTGTCACAAGAAATAAACCTATAAAATGTGGAAGCCATTTATATAGCCCATCCCACTTAAAACTTATGGGCAAGGTTATAATTTCTGCAGACAAATAGACATAATATAAACACAAGAAACAAAATATGTATAGTTAGTCAAATGGAAAA